GCTGGCGGCTCCGTCGCTGGCGGCTCCGTCGCTGGCGGCTCCGTCGCTGGCGGCTCCGTCGCTGGTGTCCAGCGACGCAATCGCCGAGTCTGACCGAGGTCACAAGCGACGGGCGATTGGCCCCGCCCCCAGTCGATGCAGTCGGCTGCGGTATCGATCGAGCAGAGCCATCGCCCGTCGCTTGTGCACTTTGCAAGCGATTGCGCAATCGCTTGCCAATCGCTCGACCGAGAGCGATTGGCAAGCGACGGACAAGCGATGGAGCGATCGCGATCGCTCCATCGCTTGGTCCGTCGCCGACTATGACGTCGGTCTTAGAGAGAAAATTGTCTTAGGGGAGAAATAGAAAGCGATGCCATTCCGTCTCTCCGTTCTCGCCCACAACACGACAAGGTGTGGCTAAAGTGTAGTGGGAGGGCACTTCGAAGAAAGAGCACAAGGTACTGGGAACCATCCCATTTCCTTTCACTGGGAACTTGAGAAGGACGCTCTCGTGTAGAAGCGGAATTGGTCACCATGGTGTATGCACTAAAGTGCATAGATCATGCTGAGCGATCCCCTTCTACACAAAGAGTCCTCTGAAGCAAAAACGATGCGTTGAATGATGTCAAGAAAAAGGATTCTGGCCGACGCCACAACTCGCGGTCACCACTGCTTTTCAAAAGTAGGGCCTACGGTCATTCTGGCTGTAACTAGTCTGCATGACGGGGAACAGTGTAACTACTATGGCGAAACTTACTGCCAACTTCCTATCTGTGCTTCTGAACCATCTTTGCTTTTGTTGATGAGGCAGCCCCCAGTTTGACACTATGAGCACCCAAGCCCTTCCGTCTAATCACCACAGCAAATATGAACCAGGGGATGAATATTTCTGGAACAAAATGAGAGCCGGAATCGCTGGCCAAGTTCCATTGAGAACAGGGCTCCCGCTCTTTTGATTCACCCACTCCTAAGTTCCTTGCCTTCTAAGCTTAGAAAGCGTGTACGGTTGCCCAAACAGTCACCTGAGAAATCCTTTCAGATTTTTGCAAGAAGAGTGAGTGAAATGTCAGTACAGAGTCTCTCAATCAAAGCAGCCTAGATAATATGGTCCATACACTGAGATTGAGGAACAGGCGAACCTTTGGCTCAAAGGTGTCAAATCGTAAAGACTGACGCTACATGGGAGCCTGAACACTTAACCTTCTGCTTAGGCTGCCTTCATAGTTTGCGGTCCGTGCGGGGAGAGTGAAAAGCGTCAACACGCGCTCTGGCGTACGATGGGTACTTGGCACGCAGTCGCCGACTTCTGACCGATAATCCTAATTTCAATACATTTCTTTTCTATCTTTTGACGTTTTGTAAGCCGTTTTGGGGTCTACTCCAGTTAAGGGGGGCATGCGATTTAGAGCACTCAACAAGTTTAAAACCACGGATAGCATATTCCCCTAGTATAAAGGTTTAGAACTAAGCCTCAGAAGGGAGGAAAACCCCGGGTTCGTGAGCAATCTTCGCTCTCTGAGGGGCCGTATGCTATGCTCCCCCAACAGGGGAGGGGTCCCCGTCCCGGTATGCTATGCTCCCCCGACAGTTCTCGGGGAGAGGCCACGCCCACCGATAGCCGGGGATATCTCCCCTATCGCCTGCCGATCGGGGCAAGCCGGGGATACCGTAATTTCGTAGCCGCCGTACGCATAATTGTCTGTCGCGCGCACAATTCTTCTATGGGTTCTAAGAATTGCTCATTTGTGAGTACATCACTACAAATATGATGTGCAGAATAAGGTTTAGTGTCGGACACCCTTAATCAACCCCACCAAACTTATTTCAAATGATTTGGTCACGTTCGATCCATGATTGTTATTTATAGCATCTTAAACAAAGATTTGGATGCTATGTTATATTTTTTACATTTTGCAGATTTTTAGGCTTCGTACTTGAGATTGTGAGCTATTACATTACGTGACACTATTTACCGTTTAGTTGGAGGCAGCCTGATGTAGCTGTTTTCTATCGATCAGTTAACTATATTTTATCGAAGATAGAACCAGAGATTTTTTCACATGAAAAATATTGGCTATCGAAGCCAATTGACTTATTCACAGAAGTGAGCGGACTATTTCATTTGGCACTATTCAACTATTACGACCCCAAAAACTCAAAATTTTATTTTTCGTCGAAACTTCGCCTATAGGGGTAATTCGATGCCCTGATCACGAAAATGAGGTTCATTTTTGGCGCTGGCGCCATTGGCGCCAATTTGGCGCCAAGGGTGTTTTCACCAAATTCGCTGTAAACTTGCACATAGGGGTTATTTGGGTCCTGATTACGGATATGTCATTCGTTTTTAGCATTTCCACCGTTCAACGCACATTTTCCATTTTCCTGGGTCCTCTCACTTGTACATAATACCTAGGACTAAGCCTAGAAGGAGGGAGGACTCCGGGGTGGGTGAACCAGTCAACATGTGGCAAACGTTAAAGCGTATAAGATCACAGGATAAGGGCACTATTCAACTATTACGACCCCAAAAACTCAAAATTTTATTTTTCGTCGAAACTTCGCCTATAGGGGTAATTCGGTGCCCTGATCACGAAAATGACATTCATTTTTGGCGCTGGCGCCATTTGGCGCCATTTGGCGCCAAGGGTGTTTTCACCAAATTCGCTGTAAACTTGCACATAGGGGTTATTTGGGGTCCTGATTACGAATATGACATTCATTTTGCGCCCGCCTATTTTCCGCTCGTCTGCGCCCTCTCACTGATCAGACCGACGTCATAGTCGGCGACGGACCAAGCGATGGAGCGATCGCTCCATCGCTTGGTCCGTCGCCGACTATGACGTCGGTCTCACCTCGCGATCGGGGATCTTATA